CACTAACTTCCTGCTGCATTAAAACAAAAAAAAAATCACTTCAAGGGATTGTAGGAGCTGCTCCTGTCCCAAGGGGACTTCCTTTTCCTTGGGAAACAGGCTGTTCCTGATGGTCCTTGCTGCCCCCACTGAAGGCTTGGGAAGATGAACCAAGAAGGATCCCACTGGAGGAGCCCCACTAATGACTTCGGGCACCTGGGGATTCCCCCTCCTCATTCAGGGAAAGGAGAGCCCACCATCAGCTGTATCCAAACAGTCTGTGGGGCAGCAGCTGCTGCCAGGACCCCAATTCCTGGCCTTCCTGCCCCTCCCACCTCGTGCAAGCGGGTTTGGCCTCTTTTGGGATCTGCTCCCTGGGGGGAAAACGGGAAAGGACTGGAAGAGACCAAAAGCTGGTCTGAAATGGCCCCAAAATCTGACCCAAAACAGACCCAAAACCGGCCCTAAACCAGCCTAAAACTGCCCCAAAATCTGACCCAAAACTTAACCTAATACCGACCCTAAACCAGCCTAAAACTGACTCTAAAACTGCACCTAAAGCAGCCTGAAACTGACCCAAAAACTGGTCCTAAGCCTGACCCTAAAACTACACCTAAACCAGCCTAAAACTGACTCAAAACTAGACCTAAAACTGACCTAAGCAGCACTGGGGCTGCTGCTCCTCGGAGATGGCACAGAATGAGGCACAGGGAATTCTGCTGCTCCAAGGACAGGCAGAGGGTCCCTCCTGGGGAGGGCACAGCCCGTGGATCCCCCACAGCCATAAGGGGCAACTCCCCGTTCCTGCTTCCAGCTGGGTTCCCACAGGGATGGAGCCAGCCCGGATTACACCATCCAATGCTGCAATAGGGGCAAAGGACAAGCTTGGGGGGGGGGGGGGGGGGGGGGGGGGGGGGGGGGGAAGGGAAGTGGCGCTGGAAAATAGATCCCCCCAGCCTGGATCCATGTGGCAGCCCCACGTTTTCCATCCTGAGCTCCCAAAAGGCTGGAAGGAGGGCAGGAAGGCGGCGTGTGCTCCAGCAGAGCCACTGCTGTTCGCCCTGAGCTCAAGGCCACGCAGATAAACCTGTGCAGGGAATAAGGGAAGCTCCAAGGAGGGAGCTGGGGCTTTCAGCTCCTCCAAAGCTCCATCCTGCTGGGGCTGGGAGGATGCAGGTCCTGGGAAAGGACAGAGCACAGCCCAGATGTGCCTCCTGACCGGCCCTGGGAGGTGATCTGAGCATGTTGTACCTCACGAGCTGGAGGCACAGGGAATATTGAATTCCCTGAGTCGGAACTGGATCATTGATCCAACTCCTGCCCCTGCACAGGACATGCCAACACTCCCACCCTGTCCCTGAGAACCTTGTCCAAACCCTCCTGGAGCTCTGGCAGCCTTGGGGCCGTGCCCACTGCCCTGGGGAGCCTGTTCAGTGCCAACCACCCTCTGGGGGAAGAACCTTTCCCTGAGATCCACCCTGAGCCTGCCCTGGCACAGCTCCAGCCGTTCCCTCAGGACACAGCATCCCTCTGGGCTGCAGCCAGAGACAATCAGAGGATAAGGCCCCCTGTGACACCCCCAGCTCATCCCTCAGGGCCCATCCAGCAGCAGCTTTACGAGCTCCCAGCCCTATCTCAGGAGAGCAGTTGGATGTGCCAGGTCCTGGCAGGGCACAGGGCACCACAGGGCCACGCCTGGAGCTGGCTGGATCACCCTGGGAGCAATCTCAGCATAGAAAGTCCTTTTTTTTTTTTTTTTTTTTTTTTTTTTTTTTTT